AGGGCAATAGCTCTAAAGTCATGGAGTACAGAGTACCCGTTTCTGTGCATTGCACTTCATCTCAATGAGATCTAACATCCTATGAAGTTTCAAGTCCATACCTTTTATAGTTTAGGAGATGGCCCGGACAAAAATAAAGCATGAAAATTGACAAAGGGAAATAACTCAAACATTAAGAAGCGCAAAATAACGGGTCATTGAAAGAAGCATGCATACCAGGTTTGGCGACAATCCGACTTATATTGACTGAGTTATGCTCTGGACAAGCTTCATGGGACGCCGACAACAACGCCGACGCCCACAGACAGAAGTAACCCCTTTTCAATGCGACAAAAAAGGTCTAAAGAACACATTTAAAACAACAAAGTCATGTGTGAGAGACAGTTTTATTTTATTGAAGAAATGCCACTCAAAACAAGACTTACTGTAGCGTGTTTACATTACGGATGATTACTATTTAAGTTCTACAAAATAAAATGCAAAAATAAACATCATCTCATGCATGATTACAATCTTAATCTATTTCTAAAATCATTACAAAATACATGTTTATATCAAAGATACATTTTATTTTCTCAAAAAGTATTCTCAACCAAATATCGATCTAAAACTAAATCTATTTTTTATTCACATACTTTTACGTTTCAACAATCTCTTATCCTAAATTTCTTTTCAAAAATACAATACTTTAAAACATTCATATCAAACAGTTCCTCAGTAATCATTTGCCTTACAAATATAGCATCCTTAGTACCAGATTTCCGAGATTTCTGTGTACAAGTACCTTCAACCATAATATTTATAATCAACGATAACCCGAGATATCTTACTGAAACGATAGAACACTTCAGTACCAGATATGTACGAAAAAATGTTACTATCATTACGATCCTACTTTTACAAGGACATAACCAAATATATTTCAAATATCTATTTCCCAAAAATACTTCAACTAAACATTTGCCAAGAGGTCCTTCCGTGCTCTGCCTTTTGCCTTGTGTCCTTTTTTTGGTTGGGGTCCTTCGGGCTCCTTGCCGCTGGTTTTGTTGCTAGGTCGTTTGGGGGTTGCGTTCATTGAACGCCGCCTTTCCTTGTTGATCTTGTTTATCAAATAGTAAAACGTCCTAAGTGCCAGATGTATGTATTAACTACGTCGTTCCTTCTATACACAGACATATTCAGACTTACTTGAATACCCATTTCTCAATCTTTCTTCTATCAAAGGTTTGTCCATGAGGTTTCACAGAAATAGCAAGATAACTTTAGCACCAGATATCTGAGATTTCAGCGTACCAGTAAATATAAGACTGCTCTGATCTGCCTCACGGACAAAATCAAACTGACCTTTTTGCACCGTGCTCGCTCTATTTATACTAGTCATTGCAACATCTCCGAAGTGAAGAAAAGCAATTATTTTGATTGGCTAAAATAATAGAAACATTTCATAATAATGATTCTAACACAATTTTATTAGCGGCTACTGCCTGAAGAGACTATTGAAAGTAAAAATATACAATTAGACATATAAGCACATTGAATTATACCTTATAATTATACAGTGTCGCGAGGATCGCGAAATTATATGACATGCTTTCCAAAAATGTGTAATTTTCTCCCGTCCAAAAATGTGTAATTTTCTCCTGTGACCTCATAATTTTGTTTTACTTAATGTTATGCTCCAGCATAATCTTTACACATTATTGTACATATGTTCTCCGGCGAAGTTCTTTGTTATAATCCGGCGGAGTATTTTGTTATAAATCATGTTTCTTGATTTTCTCGTGATATTTGTTTTGGCGGGAATTATTTCATTGGTATATAAGTCAGATTTCAGTGTCACGAGACAGAGCTTCTCAGGATTTCAAGTTATTATGGATAGTATTTAGGTTCAAAATTTATTTATATTGTGTTCTTTTGGCTTTAAAAGTATACAGTGTTAGCGAAATAAAAGTTTGGAAATTATAGTTCAGTGTTTGTGCTCTCTATTAAAGTCTTTCTTGTGATTGGAGTAAAATAAAGTGAAAATAAAATGACTAAAATACCAACTTTTTATATCTTGATAAATTCATGAATTAATTGTATTTTTTTTCTGATGCAAATGGCGAACTTATATTAAAATAACAAAACATATGTACAAAGAAATTAACAATGGTATACAGGTTATAATTTAAACATTTTCAAACTTTATTAATATACATATAGTATCAAAGGAATAGTCAGTAATAAGCACTTAAAGAGACCAGCAATTTTATTTGTAATGCCACAATAAAAATGCACTTACTGTTAGCAGTAAGAAACACATTGAATAGCCAACTGTTTTCCATCTAAATAACAAGAAAATCATGAGTGACTTAAAATGCTCATCAAAATAAATGTTTTACGTGAAACAATATGGTCATGAGGACCATGTAAATATGAAAGTTTCGGGGGCATTATGGCCTTTTGATGCATGCGTCAAATTTTTACCGGTGATTCACAAGTTTTAGCAAAGTACTAAAAACACATTATGTAATTATGTCAAGGACTGAAAACACGTGTAATTTAAGTCCAGATCTGAAAACACATTATATAATTTTAGTCCGGAGTAGAACTGTTACACATTAATACGTTATTTTAGTAGGGGACTGAAAACACATTAATATCTATTTTAGTCAAGGAGGACTGAAGACAAATTATGTAAGTTCAGTCCAGTACTGAAATAACATTATGTAATTTTAATTCAGCACTGAAAACACATTATGTAATTTTAATTAAGCACTGAAAACACATTATTTAATACATGTATAGATGTATTATGATTTCACTATTATTGAAAACAACCAAAGATGCCATGACTAATGTACTATAATCTCAGTCAATGAAGTTAGATAACATAATAAATGTGGGTAATAGTTTAAAATACAGAATATAAATCTTAACAAAAACAATCTAGTAGAGATGATGCTTGAAACATTACACATGGGAATCATATATATATAATATATATATATATATATATATATATATATATATATATATATATATATATATATATATATATTGATAGTTCTTAAGCAATATAACGAAAGGATACAAATATATTATTATACATGTTTAACACTCTCTGACATTCAAGTTTGAAGACAACGACCTTAACCACTCGGCCACGGACATGAGAGTCAGTCCAAATTATTATCAATAACATCAAGAAACAAAAAACTTAGAGAACGGGTTATATATCATACATATCAGCCAAGTGTTATCTTTTTAAAAACCTAATTTTGAACCAAAGAGAAAAGCTGGCCAGGCTGGAAAAAAGTAAACACCATATAAATTAACAATAAGTGCATTACAAACCGTACATGCTAAAATGTAGATAAATAGTCAACACATATACGACAGCAATGTCACATGGTGTCACCCCGGTACGGAATAAGACCAAGCCCGCTGTAGTCTAGAAAATAGTTCTTTTAAATTTTGAAATGGCCTTTTACAAGTCATCACAATTGATTCTGGTTAAATTTATAGTTTATCTGTATTAATTGTGTACATGAAGTTTCATTTCTGTGTACTTTTAAGGTTGTTTTTGATGTATTTTTGCAGGATTTCATTTTTGGGTGGAAGGTTTCAGGAGATACTATGCACAAGAATACACACCAGTTACTTTTTGGAAAATTCTATAGTGATTACAGGAATTAAAAGCTGCAGAAAAACTCCAAGGGCAAATGTATTATTTTTTGTGCTAAATTTACTTGGACTGCATTGGTGTTTAAAGAAATGGACATGAAGTTCCGGTACCGGATATGTTTTGTCCAGAATTTAGCCTTAAATGTGATGGATTTACTATAGGATCTATACTATGAAAATACAGTGAGCCGTCTCCACATACAGACTGGATACTAAGATGTAGAATATACATGTATCAACAACAATCCATGCAAAACCTGTAAAACTTATCCAAAATACCGACAACTTAAACAAAATAGTCCAAAAGCTCACTAAAGGAAGACATATATTATAATGCATTCATCAGAAACAATTAACTCAGACCGAAAACAAGTCCAAATTACTTATCAACAGCAGATGTCAAGTGCCGTGTGAAAGCAATAAAAAGTTGTCCCGTACTTTTGTTCAATGTTGTTATATTTTCTGATCTTTGGGATAATTGATTCAGTAGATGTTGCAATTTTACATGACCTTTCCTAATTAGACTCAAATTGGTTAGCATTTTTCATATAACTTGATTGTTGCCATTACTTACAAAATCTCTCCTGTTCCAGATTTCATATAACAACAACGTTCACCTACGCTAAAAGGGAATATTCAAACTCTATGCAAACGTACACATTCCCGCAAAGTATGGACAAAAATACAGCAGCACGGACATTTTCCGAATTCCATACCACCGCAACGTTTTGGTCATGTAAAAAGCACGGCCATATTTCCCTACACGACACCAGAGCAGTAGGCTTGAAACGAATACATGATTATGTTAAGAAAACCTGTCTCAAAATCGAGTTAAATTAATTTACTCTTCATGTAAACATCAATTCACCCATGTTGGAAAACTAATGGATTTTTTCCCAATGCATCAATAAATAAAGATGTAATAATCAGGATAGACAACATTCAATGAGAATTGGTAAGGTCAAAACAGACATAAATACTTTATTGTTACAATACTGCTTGCATCATACTAAATAAAATACTTTAAAAACACACAATTTAGACAAATGTTCCGTTTCAAACAATCAAAGAGAGTGTTATTTTGTTCCCAATTGTTGATCCTTTAAACATTTAGAAAAGTACTGGTTTATTAAAATTATTTTGTATTCAAATGCTTTTAATAAAATCCAAATAGTTATAATTACACATTTGATATTATTAAATTCTGGTGATCAGTATATTATACAAAAACACATAAAGGATCGTTTTTAAACAAGAAAAATAAAACACACACACACACACACACACACACACACACGCTACAAATCTTGCAATCAAACAACATTCATGATATGATACTGTGCGACGAAAACATTAAAGTAACTCCTCTGAGGTCTTAAAACCTAAAATCATAAAACATAGATCGCCAGAGGCACTTAAAACATAAAAAAATAAAGGATGATTAAGACATATACTCGGAAATAAATCGAAAGTCATACGGTTAGTCTTATTCTCAGCCCGATTTGAGTGGGGAAAAAATAAACTTTAAAATTTTGGGTCATTTTTCACAACTGTTCTGGAAAACAGACTGAGCAAATGATCTGAAATTTTGGTCTTGACCTACATCAAATGTCTGAAATTTATTTCACGTTATGTCAAAATACCTCAGTGGACTCCGTTTTAAATACAATAACTGAGAAAATTATTTCTTAATACTTAAATTTACTGCCACGGATTATATTTAAACAACGTTTCTTAAGATTATTTACAAATTATCGGTTTACAAAACAGTTTTTTCCTGTGCCGGTTATTTTTCTGTCTTTTCTAACTTACTTTATTCGTTCTGATGTCTAGGGTATAAATTAATATGTTGACTATACATATTTTGTTATTACTAAAAATAGTATAAGTGTAAATTTCTACCACAATATGGAATAAATAAGAACATTTATTATAGCAAGATTGGACAAATAATGTACATGGAATCACGACATTTCAAAAATGTTTTTAATTTGTATTACGTTTTTAAAGATGTTTGATCTGTTACCATAATCATATATTTTTATATTATTAATTTTCATTATTTGTATATGCTTAAACATGTCCATTTTGATAGTAGATTGTTCTGAAACACTTATATTTTTCTTTTTCATAAAAAGGAAAGAAAAGTTAAATACATTTTAAAACCTTTAAAATTTGTGGTTAGGTGGTATTAAAGTTTATTTATGTAAGTATATTTGTGTCTGTATGTAAACACAAGGCTTGCTTCTCCAATGTTCATGTTTACAAGTTCTGGTATTCATACCTAATCAAATACTCGGGGTATGTTTGATTGTTATCGAATATGATGAATATTTGCGGGTTGGTTTCATTATCAACGCAAGAATCATAAAGCTCACTGCATGGGTTGCCTTTGTCTTTATGAGGCGGACGTTTATATTCGCTGCATCCGCGGACGTATGCCCCCGGTAAAATTTTTACAACAAACATTGCCCTGTCCGAAGTTTGTTCTGCGTAATAATTGGAATATTTGGATGTTGTGGCAAAGTAGCTTCCTTTTCCATATGCTGTACCTGTAATTGTTAAACATAATTTACACTATGAACCATGCAATGAATTATACTTAACATAGCTAAACATTAAATAAAATCTTTAAAAAACTTTATTTCATAACAGACAAATACATACAATTTGAAATAGAATATTTTTAGAAAATCAGTGGTATAAATTTTACCAAACCAAACATTTTGGAAAATTTTAATATATGGCTGGAAAACTCTATGTTTTAGCTCAAGGGAGTGATAGAGAAGACAATGACGTGGTACATGATAACATTCTAAAATTGTTATAAGCAATACTGTACATGAAAAAATAGATCATCTCTCCCGAGACTGGAAGTATTTTTCATACATACTTGTTAGTATTATATATTTGAATGTAGAATCTCTAAAATAAGTTGTTTATTGAAAAAGAATATGAAAAATAACCATTAATAAAAAGAAAAGCTATACTTGTGTAATAAGTAATTAACTTATGCATACATGTAATTGTATATATCATGAAAGCTTGTATATGACTCTTTTGAGTGTAAATTTGCCAATAAAAGGTTCTTCTTATTCTTATTTTCTATCATCCAAGAATAAAGTATTAATATGTAAAAACATAGTAAGATACCATGAGTAATGATGAGTAATAATATTTTGTTGTACAACTTTTATTTTCGGAAATACATAAAAATCTCTTATCTGATCAAATATCTCAAATCTACTAGCACCATTCGTTTATTATTCCCTACCTGGTTTGTTTTTACGTGTAATACTTAATACTATCCAAACAACATAGTTATTTATTATTTTAAGACTTCCATAATAGACCAATTCACTTAACTTTAAAATGTGCCTATCCTCGAAAATGATTTGCTTATCATGGGACTTTCATTATACTAACAAAATGAAGGTTTTTTTGTTTTTAAGGCAGTTTAAAGCGTGATTTCATTTATCATTACAGACTAAGAGCTTATTTCAAAGTATCAGGAAACAAACGACAACACAATTGAATGACTTTTAATCAATAGTAGGACGACAACGACGCAAAATATGATCACATAGACAAATATATACCACGTCCAGAACTCGAACTCACTAATTTCATGCCACTTGTATGATCATTCTATGTAACGACCTAAACAGGACCGGATTGGAGTAACTAAAGATACAGCTATTTTCCATTACATTGATTCTTTTCAGGATCTCTTGTATTGGACATAATAAACACAAAATAAAATATCTGCAATACGAGATACTTGTATATTGAGAATAGCGTTGTAGAAGTTTTGGGAACCCTTGAGTAGATGGAAGGAATTGTGGACATTGAATTTACCTGATGTCTGGCCACTCAGTCTAAAATCAAACCCTTGACTCCAGATTGGATCAATGTATTGATTTCTGGTACCATGAAACAATCGTCTTTCACCAACCTCCTCCTCTGTTTTCTTCTTTAACATCTTTGTTCGCTTACTGCAATAGAAACAGAATGGCGATTAAGATATATACATTTGTAATATACTTAAAGATGTATTTTGCTCAAATTTGATATTTGAAAATATTTATAATCGCTAGTCGGTCTCCAACTGCATTCCCTGTTACTGGTTAAGCTAATTTGGTCCTTTGTTAAAAAAAACTTCAAGATGACACTAGTCTATGTATTCCTACAGTGTATAGAGTTTAAAACGTATCTCTCAAATGATGTTACAATTCATTTGATAATGATTTTATTATCAATGCTATAATAGTTGTATCTATATATATGTGACTAACCCAACAAAATCCTCCCATAAATCGCCATTCTCAATTCGTTCAATAGATTTGATACGAACTGTTATTGGACTTCCTAGACTTTCAAGAAAAAATCCTTTTATTTCTGTGTACTCCGAATCAGATTCTTTCAACTGAAAGTTTAAAGTGGATCATTAATAATACCACACTGACATTTATTTGCAATTCTGATTTTCTGTTTTATTTTTAAAAATGTCTAAGCGACCTAGACCGAACAAATTATTATTGAAGCATACTTTGACATACATTTTTAGCCGTCTACGAGTCATGACCAATAACCATACCGTCAATAGGTCAAAGGTCAAGATAAAGTAAGTTTGATCACAACAAGCTAGTCTCATCAATACCTTAAGAAAGCTTTGACGTACAGTTCATAGATTAGGTCATCACAAGACAACAATCCTATCCTTATTGATATGGATGTTTTTAATTGAAGATGATGGTTACTCGATTTTTTCTCAAAGGTTTGTCCTACCAAAAACTGAAATTATTTTGCCTACAGATCAAAGAAACAGTTCAATGGTAGCTGCTACAAAATGGCAGTTAAGGGTAAAGTTGTATTACTTAATGATTTTGAGAAAATGCATTTCTGATACAAAAGAGGCAGATGTAAAGTGTCTGTTTTACACAATTTAGATATATTTCTGTTTCTTTATTTTCAAAATTACGATAAAACAGTGCAAAAAAACAATTTGTCGTGCATTTCCATTACAACACTTTCCTTTTTTGTTGAGTGTCGTTTGCCTATATCAATCATGAGCTAAAAATTTCATCCTGTACAAAAGAGAAAATAAGAATGCCTCAAGAAAGCCCAACACGGCATAATTGAAAATGTTGCAGGCTCGGTTTGATTGAGCCTGTTCATGGACGGTACTGTCAAGTGCAAGTTACCGTCCACGGCCCTTAGCACCGGCTTAAGCAGAATTTAACATTTAACATGACCTGGTTCTTTTTTGAATTTTGAAACATCCGCAGATATGTTCATATGAAGGTTATCATGGAACCTTCAATGTGACACGTAAGTGACATTCCGGGAAAAGCGGCGTATTGTCCTCAAGTATAAACATGCGTGTGCCCTAAACGAGAAAACAATGGGCGGAAATAAATAAAACGGAATTTTAAAAGGGGATCAGAGGTTATGAAGCCTGCATATCACAGATAAGACGTCAAAAGACAGATTTTAAAAGCAGGCAACATATCCTTAGGGTTATTCAACAGTATTCACTGTACCTAACATAACACTGTACCTAACATTAGAAATGCATAAGTTTAAAATGGTTATCAAGTTCTGTTATTCTGTTATTATTTATCATTACCGGAACTAGCTGACGATGGTTCGAGAGATCCTCTTCAGGAAGCATGTTCCACTTCGGTGATGCTGATAATTCAGTAGTGCTAGATATACGTTCTGATGTAGGCTGGTTAGGTACTTGGCCGCCTCGTTTTCTTAAAATAAAACAGAACAATTCAATAAAATGTTCTAAATGGTAATTTTATTATCCTGTTAACGATGTATGTATTTCAAAACGACAACATCTAAACCACGTATTATGTCGACCCTGTATAATTAGACCTTAAGTTACAAAAAATATATTACAGCAAGCAGATGAATCGTAGTCCCAATAATGATATGAATCACTTTATAAAATTTGACAAATATATAGAGGATGGCCATAGTTGTGTTTTCTATAAATACAGGATTTATTTCCGTCGAGTGGTATGAAAATAAATATTTCATGAATGGTGGTAGCTACGGGTGAAATATGATAATTTTCATATTATACGATGTTTCTTTACCTTACAATTCTTAAAAGATCTCCTTTAGTTTTGTTAAGAAAAAAGAAGTTCGTCAAGACACCAGTGAAAATACGGAACTTGTGTGTCGCTGCACAGAAAATAAGTTTTTACAGTGAAAATACGGAAAAATTTAAATACGCATTTTATTTCATCAGTATTTTCCAATATTTCATTCATAAGTTTAAATATATTTCTATATATTTACATGCAAATCCCGCATTGTATCACTTTATGGATATTGTTTGATACTTCAGGCATTGTGTTCACAAAGAAACCATTGTGATCAGGATTATTTTCATTGGTCTATTTAACTAAAAATGATTGTATTTTGCTATAATAAAGTTATACATATTAAACAATGTAAAGCGAACACTGATTCGCAACGTAACAACCCTATTTTGGAATAAAATCGACGAATAACAAAACAAATACAAAAAGTATGGATCCATTTTAGGATCAAGATTAATATTTGGAAGAACTGTAAAATGTCCATATCTTGTAAAAATAAAAAATAAATTTATTTTAAAATTTCATTAACATACTATTTCAAGTTCGATTTTATCAAGTTGATATAAAATATTTAGGATGAGGATACAAAATGGAAAATGTTTGAGTCTTTTAGTTTTTCCTGATCTTTAATCTTTAAGTTACTGAACTCGGGGCCAGATAATTAACTCATTAATCTACTGCACATAGGATTTAAGATTTCGCGTAATACATGTAACATTACATTATTTTTTATGAGTTTGTAAAAGAACAAGAAAAATGAAACACAAGATTTAAATTCATTTAATTTCATTCACTTACGCTGCAAAAAAGGAATTAAAGAGGATTATGACATTGAAAGAAATATTTGTCTGCATTTCAGGTAACTTCTTAAACCAAATAGCATAAATTACAATTAATTATTTTCTTCAAGTAACCATCAAACTTTACTTTTAAATTTAAACTTAATTTAATTGAAAATTATATTTAAATGAATATTATACTACCCGTACAACAAAAGTTTTCATAAAAAAGAACAAGTCCATAAAACCACTTTGATTATTAATTAGTTAAAGTTTGTCGTAAAACATTACTGATGCATCATTTTTATATTTAAACAAGAGCCATGTCAACATGGCCATCCCCCGCCGAATGTGTTTGCTCATTGGAAGAATGTATATGTAGTAGAGCAGAATAATTCCATTTTAAGAGGTCTTTTGGTAATGAAAACGGATGGCTATAGTGATTACAGATTTGAAACCTATGTGAATACTGATGGCTGAAAATAACAAAGGGCAATAACTGAAAAATAATGCAGGGTAGGTTATCATTCTTGTGTGCTGCATCCCTCCTCAGTAAAATCTATCCGCCTATGAAGTTTCAAGTTGATACCTCAAATACTTTTTGAGAAAAAAATTGAATTGAAAAATTAAGTATGAAAAATAACAAAGGGCAATAACTCAAAAAATATAAAAGGTAGAGTTATCATTCTTGTGCACTGCACACCTCCTGAGTAAGATCTATGCACCTATGAAGTTTCATAATGATATCTCAAAGGCCTTTTGAGTTATGCTCTGGACAAAAATTTATTTTGAAAAATAAAAAAGGGCAATAACTAAACAATTATGCAGGGTAGAGTTATCGTTCTTGTGCACTGCACTCTTCCTCAATGAGATTCATCCACCTATGAAGTTTCAAGTTGATACCTCAAATACTTTTTGAGATAAGCTCCGGACAAAATAGTATGAAAAAGAACAAAGGGCAATAACTCAAAAATTGTACAGGGAAGAGTTATCATTCTTGTGCACAGCATTCCTCCTCAATAAAATCTATCCACCTATGACATTTCATGTTGACATCTCAAACACTTTTGAGTTATGCTCCACTCGGGTGAAAAATTAGGTATGAAAAATAACAAAGGGCAATAACTCAAAAATTATGAAAGGTAGAGTTATCATTCTTGTGCACTGCACACCTCCTGAGTGAGATCTATGCACCTATGAAGTTTCATTTTGATATCTCAAAGGCTTTTTGAGTTATGCTCTGGACAAAAATTAATTTTGAAAAATAACAAAGGGCAATAACTCAAAAATAATGCAGGGTAGAGTTATCATTCTAGTGCAATGCACTCCTTCTCAATGAGATCCATCCACCTATGAAGTTTTAAGTTGATACCTCAAATACTTTTTGAGATAAGCTCTGGACAAAATAGCATGAAAAAGAACAAAGGGCAATAACTCAATAATTGTATAGGGAAGAGTTATCATTCTTGCGCACAACATTCCTCCTCAATAAGATCTATCAAACTATGACATTTCATGTTGATATCTCAAAAACTTTTTGAGTTTTGCTCCACTCAGGTGAAAAATTAAGTATGAAAAATAACAAAGGGCAATAACTCAAAAAATATGAAAGGTAGAGTTATCATTCTTGTGCACTACACACCTCCTGAGTGAGATATATGCACCTATGAAGTTTCATGTTGATATCTCATAGGCTTTTGGAGTTACGCTCTGGACAAAAATCAATTTTGCAAAATAACATAGGGCAATAACTCAAAAATTATGCAGGGTAGAGTTATCATTTTTGTGCGCTGCACTCCTCCCCAATGAGGTCTATCCACCTATGAAGTTTCAAGTTGATAACTCAAATTTTTTTAGAGATATGCTCCGGACAAAAATGTCGGACGGAAGGACAGACGGAAGGACGGAAGGTCGGACGGACGGACGGAGACTATTTCTATATCCCCCGCCGCCTTTTCAGCGGGGGATAAAAAAGGCATATGATTTACTTTTAAGATTAAACTTCCAATTCTTTAATTACAAAATATAAAAAATTAAGCAAATTATAGGAAATAGTACAGATCTTCAAAAATGGATGAAAATATTTCAAAATTCCATAGAATATGAGTCGAACAAGTATAAGCATTTCTAAAAATGCTTGGGTCGCCGTTCAGCAATGAATATAGAAACAATATTTCATTTCTTCATTTCTTGCCTAATACTATGTGGTCAACACGTAAAGCTAACAAAAATACTTGATATATTATACCATTTTGTCCTTGTCAAAATATTTTGACGCGCTCAGTTACATTCTGCTTGGTCAGATTGTATGAGATACTCGGTATTATCCATTAGAAAAATATCACAATAACGCTTGACTCGTTATACAATGAGTTAAACTACATGCGCTACTTAATAAGTGCATCAATCGGCAAAAAGAATTTTTTACGGCTCTTGCGTAATTTACAACAATTACTTGCTGCACATTTAACCTGCTTTATTAAAGGCATGATACAATAACAACACTCATAGTATTAAACTAGCCCAGAAGAAAGCATTTAATATAAAGTTTTTTTCTTTAAGCGCAAATTTTGGAAAGAAAACAAAATAAGACTCTTTTTTAGACTACATTCTGTAATCAGAAAAGACGTGTAGCAAAAACATTGCAGTTTGATGTGTTTATCCTGCAAAAGCCTAAAGACAGGTACTGAGTTCGTACATTGATAATAATATTTTTCAGTTGTACAAATAGGTAACCCGACAAACATGGTGGTTGGGTGAGTCCATTTAAGCATCCCTCGTTGAAGTTTTTTGACGTCCATTTCGTTATCATGTAATTTTAAATTATTTGCTTTAATTGGCTAAAGGCAAGCGGTGTACAGGTAGAAATGTTCAAATCTTGTTAATTTTATATATCGCCGTCCAGGAACGGCGATAACAAACAGATCACTTCCCAGCACCTTTTATTGCCGTCATGACAATAACAAATTTTATTTGATTATAATAAAAAAAGATAATTTTAATCTAAAATCCTAATTACGTTCCCTCCTTTTGCGTTTGTTTCGTTTTCCTCTCCTCTGTCTCATTCTCACTAACAAATACAGGTCTTCGACAAACTTCAATTTCAGGTGTCGGGTTATCATTTACTTGCATCATTTTTGAAAAGTCGATAATACTTCCATTTTCTCGAAGGGAAAACTGTCCATCCGGGTTGTTAATAAAAGCTTGTTCAATATCACATTTCTCTATTTCCACAACCTTAAATGGACCAGTATTCAAAATAAAGGTATTTATGTACTATCTGTTGGCCGATAAGCGGAATAACTGTGCACTAGTATGGGGAGAACAAAAAAGACAACTACAGTTTATGAAGTGAAAAATGGGCAAAACTTATTTATTTTAAGTGTAGAGTCCAAGGTCCTTGAGAGAATTATTTATGACCAAGTAGAGAGTTACTTATCAGAGAATGACCTACTTTATACCCATCAGTCTGCTTTTAGACATAGATATTCTACTGACACTTGCTTTTGACACCTTACAGACTTTATTAAATTGGAAATGGATAAAGGTAATTATGTTGGTACTGTCCTTTTAGATTTACAAAAGGCTTTCGACACTGTCGATCATAATATTTTACTCATGAAACTTGATGCTATGGGGTTTTCTAGTGATATTATTCACTGGTTTAGGTCTTACTTATCTAGCCGTACACAAATGGTCAATGTCTCCGGTGTACTTTCATCTAGCGCCAATGTAAATTGTGGGGTACCCCAAGGTTCGATCCTTGGTCCTCTCCTATTCTTGATTTATGTTAATGATATGGAGGCTGTGGTTCGTAATAAATTGCTTCTGTATGCTGATGACTCAGGAATTTTAGTATCAGGTAAAAATATCCAATATATTACCTCTCAGCTTACTGATGATCTCTGTAGTGTGAGTAAGTAGCTCACTGATAATAAACTTTCTTTACATTTTGTAAGACAGAGTCTATTGTATTTGCGTCTAAACTAAGACGTAGGTCATGTTATCAACTAAATATTGTATGTAATGGTACTACAATAACATCCACCAAATCTGTTAAATATTTAGGTGCTGACCTAGATCAATGTCTATCTGGTGAGTCTATAGCCAATCAGGTAATTAAGAAGGCCAATGCAAAACTTAAGTTTTTATATAGAAAAAGTTCATTTTTAAATAGGTATACTAAACAGCTTTTAGTTTCTTCATTAATACAATGTCATTTTGATTATGCGTGTGCCTCCTGGTACTTAGGGTTGAGTCAAAATCTAAAAAATAGACTTCAGGCCACACAGAATAAGTTGGTGAGGTTAATTCTTAATCTCAGTCCCCGTACTCATATAGGGAGGGCTCATTTTGAGGAAGTTGGTTGGTTATCAGTACATATGAAGGGGAATTTCCTTATTCTTGGTCATGTACATAAGATACATAATAATAGTGCACCTAGTTATTTAAATGAGCGTTTTCTAATTGCAAATGAGGTACACTCTTACTCCACTCGATTTAGAGATAGTAACAGTTATTTTATTCCAAGAGTTAAGGGTTTCGGAAAGAAAACATTTGTATTTAATGGTTGTCAGGAATGGAACAGGTTACCAACACATCTTAGGTTCATAACAAATCGTGATAATTTTAAAACATCTCTTAAGGAACATTTTATGCAATCAATATCTGTGTAGTCATTTTAATCGAGTCATCTTACTTAGCTTTTATTCATATATTTTTTATTTTCAGTGCATTTTTTAGTAATACCTATTCATTTGTCAAATATATCTGTCACAATTATGATTAAAATACATGTGTGATAAATTTTGTGATGGAAATACTTATGTGCAATAATTGATATAAGAAATTGTGATTGAATAATTCATGTGCAATATTTCATAATTAGTAATTATTTTGCCTTTCTGGTGTCACATGATCAATTCTAAGGATCATAGTGGAAATAAGTCGGCTTATGCCTTTTTTTTTGTGTCATCCTTGGTATTGAATATATGGCATCAACACATGCACTTTCATGTTTACATGTATCTCTTGATATTGACATTGAATTTCTAGTTGTTTTATGACATGTATCGTTTACCAGAATAAAACTATCTATCTATAAAACTTACTAAGAAATAAGAACAAAAAGATGACATGAAAGATTTTATTTAGCTCTTAAATATATCTAAGTATGAGAAGCAACGCATAATTAATCTGACCTCGTAAAAGCGATAGCAAATATGTATTTTCTATTATTCAATAATTCGTGAATTTAAAAATACATTTTGGAAATTTGTATTATATTGATAAATTCGTAATAAAGTATTTAACCCTTAACAAAATTGTTCGATTAAAGTGATAAAAAGAATAAATATTTCCTCGTATATACTGAAAACATCCGGAGCGAATGTCTACTTGCATTGGATTTCTATTTTAGTGCATATTTTCCATATGACTCGATCCGTTGCGTCACAGACATATTTGCGTTTTGCTGTTGTTGTTGCTTTTTCATTGTCATAAGTTATTTCATTTACATTCTTTGGCATTTCTATGCCATAAGAATATAGGCAGGACAACCAGCATTTTAGGTTGCTGCTGTACCACAATATTTTTTTATTTTGTTGTGTATTTAATTGATATTATAATGTTCAACATTCAAATGGTTAGATGTAATATTCCGTTATTCTATTTCCAAATGGCAAACAAGGGGTAATCTTTATAATTATCCTTACCGTATCGCTGTAGTTCATCCACTCACCATTTTCATTCTTCCAATACCATAGCCAGTTTGTTGCCCAACGCTGTCGCACTACTTCTACAGACGATGGTGTAGACAGTCGATTAACTACAAATACCTGTCCCTCAATGTTTGTACCAGTCATCGTTTTAAAATCAATGTTAATGTTTACCCTAAATATTGAGATAAGATATGATCAACAACAAAAACTTTTCACGAAAGAAGTAGTATGCTATTTTCATGTTAAGTAAACGCGCTTTGAACAAAAATCAAGTTTGAATAACAAAATCTCGTCAACTATCGTAGGCTTCAAAATAGTATACACTAAGGGACCCTCGAGAACTTAATTGAAGTTTACACTTGAAACTTTGTAATATTTGGATTTTTGTAAGTTTTCGTGTAGAATACTAGAATTCAAAGACAGCTAGTTTAACATGCAAGAATAAATAGAAAGGACATTTATAAGAAAAACATAAAGAACGTCAAAAACGACAGTATTGCAGAGAATTGTTGAAGGCATAGTTTTAATTCAAGTACACTTACATTTTCATCATTTAATACCTTTGGTAATGTTTCAAATTCAAATGTACAAATAGAATTAAGAAAATATGATGAAATACCCTTGTTCAGTTACAAGTCTGTAAACCTCATTAACTGGATCACAGAATGCTTTCTCTGTTTCAACGTTTTCATGCTGATACAGTGGAGTCCATTCCTTTGCAAACAAAAGCTTCCATCGCCACTGGTACGGGAGGTCGCAATGAACATCAGGACAGAAATTCCATTTGCATATTCCACGCAGGTTAAATATGCATACCTTTTTCCTTGATACCTTTGCTGGTTTTCTGCTATGTGTTGCAACTGCGTTTCAAATATACAAATGAAAATTACAGTAAGTATACATGTACATGTATATGAATTGGGAAACACAACTGTTTCAGAAATGTATGTTTGATCAGAGACATAGAAAACATTATCTACAGGTCTTTTTTGATGAATTTACGGAGGTAATGCCAATGTTTGCAACCTAGCATTTAGTCAACTAACTAATGTTATTTTAGTTACTTTCCTTCATCTCATATAAGGTAAAATGTTAACAATGTTGATAAATTTATTCTAGTAATTTTTTAAAATGTTAAGAAAGCAGATAAGCAAATAGATATGCAAACTGAATTAAATGTTATTTAATGTTTCAATCGACCTTTTGCTCCACATCCAGCAGTAATATTGCCTTTTCGGTTTTCTTCATTTAATGCTGCTTTAAAATCAGCCAAAATGTCCTTCGGTTTTCTTTTCGTATTTATGCCATGGTTTTCGAGATTTGCTTTCACTGCTGGTTCAAGAATATTATGGCTTTTGTTGCATCCCCTTCCAGCCTCACATTTGCCGTCAATATAACTCTTGCACATATGTATGTATGAACAAGAGCCCGCTTTCTCGCACCCACGGCCGTTGTAACTGTAGCATATTTTAGGAGTCGACTTCTTATTCCCATCGGCATCTGTATAAAATACAATACAATAATTCTTACTCTCTAATCTAAGTTGACTTTGCTTCCGAGGGATCACTTTGTCGCCAGATTTTTAAACCTTTTACTTGTTGAATTCCTATATTTAAGATAAAAATTGAAACTATTCACTAACTGCACTAAAAAGACATGCTAAAATATATTCATATTTTGATAGGGTTTGTTTGATTCATATACGGAGATAATGCCAATGTTTGCAACCTAGCATTAAGGTGATTCTGCTTTGTCGGCCATGTTTGTTTTCACCAAGTCTGTCAAAAGTGAAAGTAGGTCAAAATTCATATAACAACAAAGATTACAATGTAAAATGATGAAACACTTGAAAGTACACTTCCAGTTCTATGTTTTAAAGACTATTTAAAACAGAAATACAAATGATAACACCACGAATATTTACCTTGAATGTGCTACATTTCTGAAGACCAAAAACATTCTGTTGCAAAGTTTTATGCACATTTCATAAATGGCAAAATCCTTTTTAAAGTCTGTTTTAGTGCCTACAAAAGCTATTTTTTGCAGCAAATACAAAAATCTTTCAAAACTTAACTCCAAATAAATCTGTATCTCATGTCCTTCTAAGCACATGGCCTCCATTATTTTTTGTAAAAAAGTAGTGCAAGAAAACAATCATCATTTATAGCCTTATGAACTACAATTAAAATGAAAACACAATCAAACTTTAAAATCTAACCTTTTGTATGTGTAACAGTGAAGTGTCTCTGTTTGTCATGTACACAAGAAATAGGTAAATGATGCTTATTTTCATGGTACTACTTTTTTACACATGTCATGGTGGCCATGTTTTTTCAAGGTCAGATAAACTACTTTCCTAAAATTTATGTTTTTTAAAGTTTTATGTATTTTCTGCAAAAAATAGCTTTTGTAGGCACTAAAACAGACTTTAAAAAGGATGTTGCCATTCATGAAATGTGCATAAAACTTTGCAACAGAATGTATTTGGTCTTCAGAAATGTAGCACATTCAAGGTAAATTTTCTTATTGTTATCATTTTTATTTTTGTTTAAATTAGTCTTTAAACTGTAGAACTGGAAGTGTACTTGCAAATGGCTCATCATACAACAATGTGAGCTTTGTTGTTATATGAATTTTGGCCTACTTTCACTTTGGACAGACTTTGTGAAAACAAACATGGCTGACAAAGCGGAATCACCTTAAGTCAACTATTGTTTTTTATTACTTTCTTTCTATCATATTAAGTAAATGTTAACGAATTGTATTTGTTTTGTATGCTTGTAATTATTTTGAAAGAAGGAATTTACTTATAAAACAGATATGCAAACTGAATTCTATGTTATCTTATGTTTCAATCGACCTTTTGCTCCACATCCAGCAGTAATATTGCCTTTTCGATTTTCTCCATTTAATGCTGCTTGAAAATCAGCCAAAATGTCCTTCGGTTTTCTTTTCGTATTTATGCCATGTTTTTCGAGATTTGCTTTCACTGCTGGTTCAAGAATATTATGGCTTTTGTTGCATTCTCTTCCAGGCTCACATTTGCCGTCAATATAACTCTTGCACATATGTATGTATGAACAAGAGCCCGCTTTCTCGCACCCACGGCCGTTGTAACTGTAACAGATTTTAGGAGTCGACTTCTTATTTCCATCGGCATCTGTATAAAATATCATACAATAATTCTTACTATCTTACCGTAGTTGACTTAGATTTTTGTTTAGTATTCATGTTTTTCTAGTTTAGTTGCCACTGCAAGCTCGAGGATATTATGACTTTTAGCGCATTTCTTTCCTACTTCACACTTACTATATATGTAATCGCTACACATATGTATGCGAGGACACAGTTCGGAATTTTCACACCCACATATTTTTATTTGTAGCAGATAGTTGGTTTTGACGGTTTCTTGACACAAACATGGGTTGAAAACACGGTAACTGGTGGCGACAATTAAGTTTTAAGTAAGGAAGCATATTCGTCGTTAGTTGAGAAAATGGCAGCTTTATAAATAGGCCAATCTTTACTAAAAATGTGTTTGAGATACAGTAAAGTCATTGCAAATATGCACCCGTCAATAGGAAACTGATCCACTACTATATCAAGAGAGAAATATGTAAACTATAGGTATGATATCATAAGAAATGATATAAAAAAGTTTAGGTTCTGATTGAAAACATAGTTCGCGTGCAATTGCTCTTTACCTTTTGAGTTCTCTCTTTCTCTTTGTCTTTTACCTTCGTTCACAGATGCTTGTAAGTCTGGAAAAATTTCTTTAGGTTTCCTTTTTACATCTATTCCATGTTTTTCCATGATGGCTTTCACCTTAGGTTCTATGATGTTGTGGCTTTTGCTGCATTCTTTTCCAGACTCGCATCGACTTTCTATATAATTTTTACACAGATGTAAAAAATGACAATTTTCGCCCCTTTCACAACAATCTCCGTTGTACTTGTAACAAATTCTAATAGAACCTTTCTCTGGCGTATTCTGTACAGCGGCTGGGACTGGAATAGTTTCACAACATATAAAATGGGCAGAGATTTCAAAACCTACTTTTATAATGAAGTATGTTAGAGCAAATATACGAGGAAAATAAAAATATTTTTTTTGCAGTATAAAAACGTTAATGCTTTTATTAATATCTAATTAGAAGAATACATATTTCATAGTAATGTAGTAAAGTTACAAGCTGTTAATACAACACATGTCATGCGAATTTATGTATTTTAGATAAAATGATAACTATTTTGTACCTGTCGGTTTTGTTTTCGAATCATCATTGTTCTGTCCTATACTTTCCTTAACAGATGCTTGCAAGTCTGGTAGAATTTCTTTTGGCTTCCTTTTTATGTCTATGCCATGTTTTTCCATGATGGCTTTTACCTGAGCATCGAGGATATTGTGGCTTTTGCTGCATGCTTTTCCAGATTCGCACCGACTTTCTATATAACTTTTACACAGATGTAAAAATGGACAAGTGTTACCTCTGTCACAACCATTGCTATTATAATAAAGACATGTCTGCAGAGGGATATTTAGATCATCGACTGCTCCTGAAATGCAAGATACTTAGGTAGCAAGACTACAATATTAATATTATTTTATAAAGATTTAGATTTCCTCTCCACGGTTCTCCACGGTTATGTTAAATATCACTTTATTTGCCCTTTCCGTCACAGCATGTAAGCATTCCGGGTATATAAACGGTCACGCTTTAAAAAAGATATTTGTGAGCAAATTTCGTAAAGGAATTGAGTTGATTAGACAAATAGTGACTGTAAGTATCATTTCCAGAGCGCTGTCTTGGAGTCACGATAAAAGCCTGAAATTGTTTATAGACCATATATATTTTTGAACTCTAAATAAGAACGTGGTATTAAGAGGGACATAAGAATAACATGCTTACTATGTACATTAGCTGTAGGTGTAGGCGGTGTCACTTGGTCGGTGCTTGTTTTCGGCTCAGCTGGTGTCTTTGTTGTAACAACATTACCAACAGTATGTGCTAAAGTGTGTGCGTTAATAAGCGCAACAACAATTGTTGCTTCAAGGTCAGCAGTGACGTAGTCGCATCCGTCAAAAGGGCATTTTACAGCAGGCATTGTTTGATGTTGTCTTTTTCTGTTAAAATATTATATCTTATTTCTTGTTTACATTTATTTCACTGCATCGAATACAGACTACATATAGATATCTAAATACATGCAGTTACATAAGCCATGATTTCGGACACTATCTTAATCCATCAAATTCAATCAATACAAGTACCATGCCAGCCAAATTACTTTACAGCCACTTATCCTCCTGAATTATTGTAACGGTCTGACCATTTTCAATTCTAGGGATATCGTATGGTGGCTGATTTTTGCCATTTCGTATCTTCATGTCTTCGCCCCTCAAAAGTCTAAGGTAAAGACACGATAAATTGACCAATTATCGTGTCTTCACCTTCGGCGAAATAATGATATTGTAATAGGCGAAGACACGATATCTTTTTTCCTCAAAATACAAAATGGCAGGCACGGTAAATGGTCAATTTATCGTGTCTTCCACTTTCGGGCGAATACATGATGACACGAAGACTCGATAAATTGACCAATTATCGTGTTTTCGACTTTCGCATTTTCAGGCGAAGACACGATGACACAACAAATATAGGCGCCGATACAAAGATGTCACACGCCGACACGCCTATCAGAATATTGTTATTTCGCCTAAAACATTTCGTTTCTTCGTGCCGGCGCCCCCAAATGTCGCTTTCGAGGGGCGAAGACATGAATACATGGAATGGTTGAAATCAGCCACCATAAATTCAAGATGACAATTTGAAGTTAGTCAGGTAAGATAGTATGGATGTACTGGTTGGCCTTGCTCTACATCGGTGGCAAAGGCTTATCACTCATTTTCTGTGCGGTTCAAGCAGTTTAAAGCCGCAAATAACTTTGGTATGTATTGATACTCCGTAGCCAATAGTTTTATCAAGTTTATCAGATATGATATATCATAAACAATAACATGTAATTGTTTTGACATGTACTATGCTTGCACAGTAATTAATTAAACAAATTACAGGCAAATTTTAGATAGATATTTGAATTATTTTTAATTTAAGTTAAGAAAATTCTTACTTCTTAATAATTCTACTAGTAATACTATGTAAGCAAATCCGAAGTAACTGATCAGTTTGCACTATACAATATTAAACTGTAAACCAATATGAAATCACACACCTATAGATAAAATTTACAAATGATTAAACACTGTGCTGCAACCTGTACCGTATTTTATTTTGGTAGACAATGTTTAACTACTATAGATGTTTTATATAGTTGTAGAAGATCTCATGTATGCCAAATACCTGAGCTCTAACCTCTTAGATCTTAAAGTCAATCATTCTCCTGTATACATGTACAATTATATGTTTCAAAAAGGATCCCGGGTAGCACTGTTGTGCAGTCGAAAAATGATGAAATTCTTTTACGAAAAAAAAAAAGAATAAATATACATGCTATTTTCTTAAACACAAACTATTATAAATTTGTTATCATTTTCTAGAGAGGCCATAGCACCATCGCATTTCGACTCCAGGCTATGATTAACATATCATTTGTAGATAGCATTTAAGCATTTATAGTATATAGCTAAGTTTAAACCTTCATTTTTCAGATTAAAAAGCCTATAAGGCTTAGTATTTTTCTAAAGTTAGTTTTTTATATCCTACATAAACAATCGGGTGGACATGATAGTTATGATGCACGTCAAATATCGAAGCTCTTGTCTTCATAGTTGAAGTTAATCACATTTTTTGTTCAAGACTGCATTCTTCATTTTTATCTCCTGACATCTTAGTACAAGGGCATCAGACTGAAACTATGTATATAATTTAGAATCAGCGATTGAAGTACGGAGATCTCTGAGTAAGTTTACTTAACCGTCTTTCCAACGAGATTTAAAAAAAAGAGATGGCGGTTCTATACGTCAAAGAACAAAATGTTGCTCCAAAAATAGAGTAAACTCTTTCGTGCTTCCCTCCAAAACAAAAATAAGACAATGAATCTCCCGCACGTGTATTTGTTGGCAACTTTAAAGAATCCTGTATCATACTATCTATTAATTTGTGTGATGTATGACCCTACAGTACAGCTTTTCAAAAGAGTGATTAACAGTTTTGTCTGATAACCTTGTTTTGTTTGTTAAAGTTGATAAATGATAACATTGTTTTGTAATCTAAAGTTGATTAATGATAAATTATGAACGGTCATGACCACGCCATTTTTGTAGTGTATGATCAATGATAAATTCAAATCAATCTTCGGAGCACCGCCTATCATTCGACGCCGTCACACTTTTTAGAATATAAAAAAACAATTCTGCGGCATCCTGTAAACTTGCATCAATGATAAGTCTATTTGTTTATATTGTAAATTAATTTAAGAATGACCATTGACATACAATAATGGAATCAATTTCGAAATTTCGAAATAATGCACAATGAATTAATATCTGTTTCCATTCTAACACGTCAAGAAAAAATATAATTATTATTTCAAAGTTGGACTTTATGTTTGGTGGTTTAATTTGTTTTCGTCTCAGAGATTCCAATAGAAACGTTCTTTAAAGGCTGTTCCAGTGGGTTGAAAAAAACTGTCGTTAAATCTACCGTGTGTAGAAACATTTTGAGAATAACGAATTTTGAAAACGTTGATAAAACTTTGTTTGTTTATTTTATTTCACTCTATAATTTTTCAAGCGAAATACAAATTATTAAAAGTGAAATAAATGTAAAACTTAACTCGTTTACGACATTAAATTAGCGTACTTGATTTGATTGTTTTGCACGTGCTGTTTGGCGCAACATTGTGACGTCACGTAAACAACACTTTAAACGCCTGTACAACGTTAACGACTAAATTAAAGATATTGGTGTTCGGATTAATTTTCTTAGTAAGACCATTTTCGTTCATTCTAAATAGTTTAAACAACAAAATTCGACAAAAAAAATGTTTTTATTTATCAGATATTTAAAACAAAATGGCGCCCTAAATGTGAAAATACACAGGGAGATAATAAGAACGGCGAGTGCATTGTTGTAGAATAATGCACGCTTCCAACCTTCTTTGTCTATATAGGAAAACTTCCGATAGTGTTAGAATAATC